CCCTCACTGCCCCACTGTCCCCATCCAGTCTCCTGTTTCTCTGCTCCTCTGTCTTGGTACCAATCTCCTTCTGCTAGCCAACAGCCATATCGTCATAGCATCTGTTTGTCAGCACCAGTGCTCTGGAAAGGATTCCACACCAAGCACAGCACCAGGCACAGAGTAGGTTCTAATGAATATTTGTTAGAAGATTTGATGAACATTGTAAAACTCTGTTATATATGTTACAAATGCCTGATAGCAACTCAAAGGATTATTCTAGAGAAAGTAGAATTAATGAAAGTCAAAGCTTTACTCTAAAATAATAAAACTCTTTTGGTACAACAGTAAGGCCTCATCCAGCTTTGGAGAGAGGGAGAGAGATTTGGGGAGCTAAGGAGGCCATGCCACGTGTTCTCCCTGACATGGGGAGTTAGCCACTGGGCTGCACTATGGAAAAAGCTTCTCCCAGTCCATCTCTGCCTGGGGCTGGAGACTGCCTAGCAGCCCTTCAAACACATCTGTATGTTTGTGAAGCTGGGAAGAAAAGGATCAGCACAACCGGCTCATCCCCTCATGGGATTTTGAGAGCTCTTGACCAAGATGGTGCCACTTCCCTTTACCCTGTTCTACACCTGACTCAAGCCCATCCCCAGCTTGCTAAGAGTTGGGACTTTCTGTAAGTTTGGACTGAGACCAGCAGAGACCGAAAGGAGAGGCTAAGAACCCACAAAGGGGATCACAAAAGAGCCCAGATGTTCACACACCTTTCAGTTCTGGCCTCTGTCATTCTGCCTGCCCAATAGCCCTGAACTTGACAAAGAATACAGACGAGAGGGAGAAAGCCTGGCCAGAGTACTGACCAAAGCTGAAAGACAATCACAAAGCAATTTTTTTGTGCTCCCTGAGAGCTCATGTACGTGAGCTTTGGCCTCAAATAAATCTGAGTTTGCATCCTGGCTCTTCCAGTTGCCATCTTGGCCAAAAGTTCTGCAGGCATTATTTCACTGAATCATCACAGTGACTTATGTGAGGCTCCACAAAGCATGTCAAAGTCAGGGCTAGGACTAGAACTCACGTCTGCTGATTCCTCAACAAGGGCTCTTTCCCCTACATTCTGTTGCTTTTATGTTTTACTGTTGCAAAGAAGGAGAAAGTTTCCTGTCTAGGCTTTCTGGGAGATGGCCCTCAAATAAACAATTTGCAGAAAGGCCACTTTCTCAGAACAGGTCCACAAATGTTGTTGTCAGAAGAGGAGTAATGCCTTGTGGTTTTTCTTATAGAAAGTTTCTGATTTCAGGTAGAGCAGGGTTAAGAATGCTCCATTTTTGTAAATCTGAAATTGAGCCTCAGCCTTTAAAGAGATGGTGAGAAAAAAAGTACGTCTTCTAAGATGGAGAGGAGACAGTCTCTGAAGCAGGGTACTGGTGCCCTCTGGCTCTGAGGAAATGTTCCCATGGAGTCTGTGCCAATGACTCAACCAGGGTCATGTCACACAACTCACCAGGAAAGCTGCAGTCTTGGGCCAATACTCTGTTCTGCAGGCCATTCAGGAGCAACAACAAGGTGCTGTGAGATGAATCAGAGCGATGCACATGTCTTTTGACCACTAACCCTTTTTTTGTTAAATTGAATTTGAATAACTTTAGCAACACAAGCCCTTCGAGCTCCCCCGGTCCCATCCCATTAGGAGGCTGCCTGGTTCAGTGTTTGTAATCCTGTGGCTGTCGCCAAGGTTTAGGTGAGTCCTGTAAAATAAGGAGCTTTTAAAAAGGTGATTGAAGGTGAGAAGAATAGAGAAGAGGAGTGCAGAGCTATCCACTTTGCACACTCATCCTGGAGAGTGTTCTTAAGGGAGAAGGTGGAAGCGGGAAGATGGGCCACTCCCCCAAGTTCCACGGAAACTACTTGGAGGAAGTTTCAGGGCTCTTCATGGATTTGAGTGAGGGACTTAAAAGTCAGTTCTGCCTCTGACAATGGGAGAGAGCTGGGTCGTTTGTTCATTCATTCTTGCATTAAACATTTGCTGGACCACAGTGGCAGGCACAGTGAGGGATATAAAATAAAGATCAAGTGATCTTTTTCCTCAAAGATTTTACCATCTCCTGAGAGTGATAAGACATACTAAAGCACCCATGGTACCAAGTGAGTGGCTGAGACATCCAAACTCAGTGAGTTTTGTTTTAGGGAAATGGCAATTCAGGGAGTGCGTGGCCATCAACCAGCGTTTCACTGACTGGAGACAGGGGAGTCAAGGGGTAGCTTTCACAAAATATACTCCCAAATACTGTGTAGATTAAATGAAAGTACAATGACAGTAATAAGTAATCTATGAGGCATTAACAGACACTATTTTAGGAATCTTATATGCATTGTGCATATAAGATTCCTTATGTGCTATTATTATGCCATTTTACAGATGAGGAAACTGAGACCATTAGAGGGTATGAAGCCTGCCCATGGTGACGGAGAGCAGAGGAGCACCAGTCCAGCAGCATAGCCCATGCTCTTAACCATGCTGCTATACTGCTCCCCATACTGTGAAAATGGACCCCTGCAAAGATCCAGTTTTGGAAGGGATGATTTTGTACTACCAAACTCCCGAGCAGGCTCACTCTACCAAAATGTGACGGCAATGGAATCGAAGCTGGGGGAGGAGGGTTATGTTCAGTTATCTGATTTCACCATGTCTTTAGACTCTGAGCATGGAGGGTCCCAACACTCTTCACAGGGCAGCGTTATCTGAGGCAGTGTGTGAGAAAGTGACATACACTCCCCGTCCGGGCCCTGGGGCTGGCTGCCTGGCTGACAGCCCTGGGGAATTCCTGGAACTCAGAATGCCTCCAGCACTGATACTCCATGAAGCAGCTCAGCTTATCTTCCTACATTTATTTTTACTTAGGGGAACTTAGCACCATGGTAACCTGGTCTCCTGTAGGGATCTGAGAGCCAAACATTGGAACAACAGCTCCAGGGAAACCACAGGCTGGCTCAGTTCTGAAGGGCTCCATTTTAGAGAAAAGCAGAGTGTTTTGTAATGGTAAGAGAGAGGGTCACAGAGAGCACCAGTCTGCTGCACCTTCTCTCTTTGGACACATACGAACTTTGCTTACAACTCTTAGAGCTTCATATCAAAGTTACCTCTCACCCACATTGCTGGGAATTAGGATAGAATAGACCATTCTGGAAAATCAGCCCCCAAAGCTACCTTTCCATCATACCACAAACTTAGTAGTCTATTTCAATCGTGTGGCTTTCTGAAATATGCCAGATATTCACAAAGTGGTAATACTCCTGATGAGATGTGAGCAATGACAGAGCAAAGAAGGCTGGATGATCAAAGGGCCCTGGGTCTCAATTTACCTCTTACTTGCATCATTGATCTCCTGTAGCTGAGTTCACTAGACTGTCAGAACTTCTTACAAGTCCTGACAACAGGAAATCAAAGCTAATTTGCATGGGAGACCAAGTACCAAACCCTCAATTCTTCTCTCAACACAGTAGTAAAGTGATTGATATGGAAGAGTAGCAGAGTGTAAGTTGTTGAATGGATGAATGAATAAATAAATGCATATTTGAATATACATATGTGGCATGAATAAATGAATAATAAAGGGATGAAAAGGACAGATGCTTTCTAACCAGGGACCTATAATATGTTTAATATCTAGTTTTGTCAGATCTACAAGTTCATTAACAACAATGAGAAAGAACAAAACGAAACCCATTTGCAGGTAGTGTTACAGTCTGTATGTCAGCAAGTTCTCTCTCATCAGTCAGCACAGGGTATGTATTCTTATTTTATTTACTGTATTTTCTGGAAACTTATCTTTACTTGGAAAACAGGACTGTATTCCAGCAGCTGGCAGGCCAGGCTATATGGACAACTGCCTGCTCTACCCACTCATAGAGGGGAACAGATCAATGGCCAGGGTGGGTAGGAAGTACAAAGAAGCAGAGGCAGCTAAAGACCTATTTTGGAAGGGCTTGTGAAAGGTCTTATTCACATGAGGTAGGAACCCACTGTGGTCAGGTGGAAAACAGCATCACAGCAAAAAGTGGCAATCCTTAAGGCACTGTGGGATTTGGGGCAGAAATGGGAGAAAGCAGTACTGGAAATGGAACAAAGGAAGAAATGATTGCCCTAAGCCAATGCTTAGTTAGGAAGGTGCTGTGAAGACCAGCCACAGCACAGGTAAAATGAAAGAGTGAAAATTCTGGAGACCAGAGTTGGGGGGTTACCGTATTTGAAAAATTAGGACTAAGCAGTAAGGAAGGGAAAGGGACCCCTAGAGGGAGTTTGGGGAGTTCAATGGGCCTTTGCAACTCTGCAAGGAGTGCCTCCAGCCACCAAGACTCCATAGGCACTGGGGATAGAACTCTAAGCAAAACACGCCCTGACCCTGTGCAGTTCACAGGCTAGTGGGTGGTAAAAAGATTCCTGGAGAAGTAGTGAGAACCTGGGATTGTGTTCCCAGCGTTGCCCTGGACAAATGGCAGTTCCCATCTGGGCTTTGCATGCTGCATAGGAGCAGAATGATCATTCCTGTGCTCAACTTCCAGGGTTCTGCTCTTAAGCAGAAAAAACGTTTATGTGAAGTTCATCGACTTATTGTGTTTCTTCTTTTTATTTTGAATTCAAGTAAAATGAATTATATTATCTTTTATTTAAAATGGCATGAATAATGCAATCTTGCTTTTGTAAAGTTCTAAGTGTAAAATTCTGTATCCATCCATTTATGCATCCTTCTATCTAACTCTGTATTCATAGAGGTGTATTAGGAGCATAGTTCCCAAATTTTCTTCAGTTAAAATGTTCTGAGTCTTTTGAATTTTAATGGTGAGCATATGTTATTTGTACAAATGTAACAAAGACTTTATTATCTGCATAAAAGTGGAATAAATTGTTAGGAATCTAGGTCAGTGAGAGAGTGTGTAACTGTGGATGGTGGGGCCTTGGGAAGGGGTTTATTTATGTATCATTGTTCTTATATTTCTGGGCGTTGTTCTCTTCTCTTCAGGTACCAGACATGCTCCAACAACGGGCTGGTGGCGGGATTTCAGAGCCGCTACTTTGAGTCAGTGCTGGATCGGGAGTGGCAATTTTACTGCTGTCGCTACAGCAAGAGGTGTCCATATTCCTGCTGGTGAGTTTGCAGCCAAACCCCATATTTCACGGGGTTGAAGGAGAGTCCAGTGGGTACTCTAGTCCACGTTTCTGGCTTCAGACAGGCCTGAGCTGTCACAAGCAAGCATGGAATGCAGCAACTAGCATACAGAAGAGAATGAATGATGAATGAATTAATGTATGAATAAGTTAGAAGAATGTTCACACTAGGAGGGACCCTACAGGTTATTTAGCCCAATGCTCCCACTCCCCTCTTTTGGCAGAAAAGGAAAAAGAACAATCAAGCAAGGCAGTGCCTGGCCTGGTCACGCAACTATTTCATGGGGATGCCAAGTCTTGAGCCAAGGTTTACTGACTCCTGCCCCAGTGCTTTTTTTCCCTGTACCATGCTAACTTCTCACCACATCCAAGGCTGTAGGACCTGTTTGGAAACCTATTTTCCTGCAGTCCTTCTTTGGGAGAAACCAACCTTATCATGGGTCAGAGTCTAGTATATAGTTATAGACAGAAAAAAAAAAAAAGATGCTGCTGTTTTCTAGATCAACTTGTAATTCCAGCCTGTGAAATTTTGTTCCTTTCCCTTTCCTTGGGATGATGCCAAATATCTCCTGACCCAGCCTTCCAGCTGACCAGGACAGTGAGTATATATTTACTTACTCTGATAACTTACACTGGGTGTTGATAATACAACTTGTCCCAGATTCTTTGGTCTGAAAACAAACGAAGCATTTCTGCCTTGGGCAAAGGGATCCAAAAGTGTCATCACTAAAGTTTGGCTCAGTCACTTGGCTCACTCAAGTGATTTATCTTTTTCTAGCTTGCTGCTTGGAAGGACAGCCTTGCAGGTTATGCTTATTCTCTGCAATCAGACAGTGTTACTCCACAGATGCTCAAGTGGTGCACAGTGTCTCTAGGGACAGTCAGCTCCAAAGCTTAACATTTTTGTTTTTAAAGTAATGACCATGAGTAAATACAGAGCTCAAAATCAGCTGGTACCTGTAGCTGTATGATGGAGTGGGGACCTCCTCCAGCTCTCCAAAACTGCCTGCATACAGCAGTCCTTACCTCACCACAGCAGGTGAGCAGGCACAGTGAGGGCTCATGATACAACCATGATAGGATCTGAGTCAGAGACCTACAGATCTCACATGGTGGAGCAGGTGGGAGGAGCACTGGTGGGCAATGAGAAACTGAGTCCAGCCTCTGTTCTGGCCTCTCCTCCTCCCCCTCTCCTGGCTCCCCTCCCCACTGCAACTGCTGTCTCCAGCAAGTCACTTTACTTCTCTGAGGATCCTCCAGTACATCACTTAAAATGATGGCCAACTTTTCTGAGTCTCCAGAGTTTTAAGGATCTCATGAAAACTATAGAGCTTGTCTTCGGGGGGAAATGCACTTAAGCATGTTTATACAAAAGTTTGCAGAGAATTTCACAAGTCTTCAAACTCCCCAAAGGCCATTCATGGACACACTGCCAAGGACCTCTGGATCACAAGTTGAAATTCCCAGGACTTGAAAGAAGATCATTGAGGTTGTTTTGAGCTTTAAAATTTTCTTAACTCCGAAGGTACTTTTGAGGTACTTTTGCAAAGGGCAATCCAGATGCCAGAACTTTTTCCACAGAGAGGATGAAGGTTCCAAAGACAAGGGGGCCCCAGTGAGAGGCGAGAGGAGGTAGGAGCCTGCCTGTGCAACTTAAGAAGTGCAGCTTTCCCCACCTTCCTTCCCCAGCTGCCAACAGAATGGCACTTCCCACAATGAAGCCAGCCTCCCTTTATTGCAAGGTATTAAAAGCCAGTTAAAATGTAAATAAATTATCTGAAAGAACAAGTAAAAACTAGTACTCAGTTAACCCATTTGCCACATTAGCAAGACTTTCCCTTAGTCAGACCCTAAAGGAAATCATCAGGGTTGGGGTACAGTGGGTGGCCAAAGAGGAGTGACCAGTAGCAGAAGAGGGAGTTGTTGGACAAGAGGGAAGCAGCCCTGTGCAGGCCACACAGGGAGCCCTAGGTATGGGTGGCCCTGTGCTCCTGCCCTTCCTAGATGCCCCTGTTACAGTACTAACACTGCATCTTAACGACCATGTGTGGTTGCCTCTCTCCACCTTGACTGTGAGCATCTAGAGGACAGGAGTTCTCTCTGATCTTTGTGTCCCAGTGCCTAGCAAAGTTCATGGAACATAGTCTCTTCATAATAGCTGCTGATGAATGTTCAGATAAATGATTCTGGAGGGTGTGCAGAAAAAGGTAACATGGCCCAGAAAATATGATTTTCTTACTTAAAATTTGTTTTTAATCTCTCCCCACCTTCTCACCTCTGCCCTAGAATATGAGCTCTACATGAGCAGAGATCTTTGTGCTGATGTATGCCAAGCCCTTTAAATGATACCGGGCACACTGCAGGCACTCATTAACATTTGTTGGATGAATGGGGGAATGAGTAATTTCAGCCTACTTCCTAGTTTCAACTTGAGAATTACATGAGATGATATATGTCTGGCATTGTCATTGGCTACGGTCACACAGAATTGGCCTGTCTTGCAGCAGAGTCCCCTTCACCCTCCCAGCTGCAGGAGAGATCCAGCCTCCTCACCAATGCACAGGCCTTTCAAAGACAGACTGCCCAGGATCAACACAATGAGGGGCCAGATGGCCTTGCAGGAAGCAGAACTGTGACTGGAGTTAGTAACGCAGAGAACAAGATACATGTCCGCTTGGACTGTCTGCAGGGCGTGTACTGACTCATTCTTCTCCTGGCAGAGGAGGAGTGAGCTGGGGCAGCTGCGTTCCTCATTACAGCAAGGCCCGAGGTCTCTGCCAAGATGAATGGGAGAGCCTGCCACATCTGGGACCACTCGGTCATGGCTGGCCACATGGCTCCTGGCCAAACAGAACAACAGAGAGTGGGATGAGGACCCAGGCGAGAAACTGAGGCTCACTGGTTTTAGGAAAGTCATCAAACAGCAGAGGTAGAGGGTGGATGGAGGTAAGGGTGAGATAAAGGAAAAATCTCAGAATTCCTATATTCTATGGATTTCTGTGATCTGTGTCAACACTCATCATTGATGCTTGAAGTTTATCCTGTTTGTTTGGATGCTGAGATCTGAAAAAGATAGGTTTTTCTATCTCAAATTCCACTGTCATTCTAATGATGCCCAGACTTCGGGTGGCCAGCTGAGGACAGGTTCCAGGCTACTTCTGCTTCCTCACAAATGCTAGATATCCTTCCTCCCATTTCATCTTCTCGAGTTCCCTTAGGTGCAATTCACCAATTAAGATGCTAAGAATTTGGGCCGGCCTAGTGGCGCACTCGGTAGAGTGCGGTGCTTGGGAGCGCGGCAGTGCTCCTGCCAAGGGTTCAGATCCCATATAGAGACCGGTCCGCTCACTGGTTGAGCGTGGTACGGGCGCGACACCAAGGGTTGCGATCCCGTTACCAGTCATGAAAAAAGACAAAAAAAAAAAAAAAGATGCTAAGAATTTAATGAGTATGGAAATACATATGTAGGAACAAAGTCCCAAGTTTAAATAGAATAGAGATGAGCAAATTTTCTTGAGTAGCCAGGAGACATTCAGGTCTCCAGCAGCAAAATTTACCCCAAATCTTGGTCTGCAATGACCTTCCCACCCTCACCCCTACTCCACCCCACCCCACCCTTCTTCACCCCTACCCCACTATGCAGACACGTCATGTCATTGTTCATCGGTATCAGTAGAACCCAAGGGTAGGGGAAAGAAGAGAGAATTACTCAGAGAGTCCCGCTAAGGTACATTCCAACTTGGCTCGTTCTATTTCTGATAGCCTGGTGTGAGAGCTAAGAACTACCACAGCTGCCCAAGGAAATGGTATTTTTTCAAAGGAAGCTTTGGAGAAGCAGCAGTACGAGATCGCAGTATGTGCCACGGTACACAGCAGATGACTCACTATCCCACTGGTGTGTCTAGACATTTTAGTGGCATCTTAAATTGCCTGAGTCATGACAGTATATTATATATCTTTCTAAACAGAATGAAGCTTCTAGGCATAAACTAGGCCTTATTTCCTCAGCATCTCACCACACTATTGGCATAAAGTAGCCCCTCAATACATTTGTTGAATGAGTAACTGAATGTTTTGGGTCCCTAGGAATAGTAACAATGGCGAAACCTGACATTGATATAACAATGTTTTATAGTTGATAAAGACTTCTTTCACATGCACTATTTGTATTTGATCCTTTTAATAGCCGTACAGAGTGAAGTGAGAAGTATTTTCCGGCATTTTCCCACAGTAAAATGCTGATAATCTTCCTATTTGGAAGCTTCTCTTACATCACTTTAACTAGCTTGAATTACCTCCTGGATGAGCGTAGGTGGAGACGACACCGTCCCCCTGCCACTGTGCAAGACATTCTGCAGCGTGGAGCCCGACGCTGTTTTGAACTAGCTAAGTGAGTGTCTGGCGCCTCTGTGCTTGCGAGCATTTAGGGATTCAGAAATATCACTACTCAGAACTGGAAAAGACAAATCATCTAACTAGCTCCTGAATGAATGCGGGATTTATTCGTTTGGTGGGAACCAAGGTGCTGCTCTCTTTTCAGCTGGTGCAGTTTCTTGTTGGATATCATAGTATCACTGGACTCTGGCAAGAGAGTGAATTCCTGATAGATGTGGACATGCTGTTACTGAACAGCTCCCACTGGATTGGATGAATGTGTAAATTTTACAAATATTTATGTGTACATGAGAATTCAAATTCTTCATCCAGTGATCTGCAAACCACAAACACATGTCACTGAAGCAGCCACAACTCTTCAGAGACTGTTAGTAATAATTCCCCTCTCCTAAAAGCTCCAGCTGCTACACGCCACACACCAGACTGTCTCCTGTCTAGGCAGAGACTGTGTCCCAAGAACTGACAGTTTGGAATTCCTTTTCTAAATGATCCTTCTCCAAATCCATGGCTGTATTAGTCAGGGTTCTCCAGAGAGATAGAATCAATAGGATATGTTATAACTGTATGAGAGGGATTTATTAGGGG